TTGTTTTGAGGTTTATGAAAGAAATCCTTCTTTTGAATCGAATAGAGATTCCAATCACAGTATGGATTTATAACTTAGGATTATTTTAATATTTATCGATATTTCATATAATTTATTACTTTTAACTAAATCATGCATATTATATTTTGTTATGTAGTACTTTGATGAATGCAAGTGTGCTCATTACACGGAAAATCAATTGGAAGAAATCAAGGAGGAATTGTGTGAATACTTTATTCAGAAAAGAATCATATAAGGTATTGGAAGTTGAAAAGTGTTATGAAAATTTTTAATTGTGTTGGACCCAAGTTAGTTTAATTGACCGTGTTGTTCTGTTCATACCTTATTTGCAGGACCAGGACCGTCCACTCGTCGGATTTTGGCGATTTCAGACTAAAACGAATTTGGCACATGTCATACATAAGCGGATTCGAATAGAAGGTTTTGTTGTACTTGAGTACTATCACCTTAATACGAAATTCTTGGAGTTTGTTTTGCCTCTTATAAGAGAAGGTTTTCTTGTAATACTCATAAATTTGTTGTTCGAAATAGTCATAAATTTGTCCTTATTATAGCGCATCCTCCTCCTACTTAGTAGCAAATATGTGAATTGAATTATAATGGTGTTTATATTTTGGTATATAATAGTATTATAATGGTATATAATGCTTTTTTTTTATGTAACGGCTTCTTTGTTGAAATAAATGATCGTTGAAATGTAAGGCTTGGAGTACAGGTTTATGGGATTATTCCCAAAAAATGTCTTCTAAAAAAGAAAGAATACGCAGTGTTTTTACATAAAAAATATTTAAGTTTACGTGAAGCAACGAAAGCGCTTTTTAAGAAAAAGCGCTGCTAAACGCCTACTTTAGAAAGTGTTTTTCCTAGAAAAGCACCATCTAAAGATGCCTTAAAAAATATATTAGACAACGCTTTTGGAAGTGCTGTCTAAAGGGGGTCCATAGAAAGCGTTTTTTCAAGAAAAAGCGCTGCTAAAGGCCTACCTTAAAAAGTAAAGAATACATATGACAACACTTTTTCGTAAAAAAAAATAATATTATCTATACCTACGACAGCACCACCATAAGCAGCGCTTTTAAGCGCAAGCGCTGCTAAAGAGAAAGAAAAAAAACGTTTTCTTAAATCTTTTTTAGCATAGTGTATTAATAAATAATCGATTATTAATCAGTATCAACCTAATTAAATCACAATAATATATCAATGATAATAAGGTTGTCTTAATTAAATAATAATAAGATATCAATGGTTAAGGTTTACGTACCTACGATGGATCAAAACACTCCACTTCCTCATTTTAAATGCCACCACTTTTATACAATTTGATACTTTTGATTTTTTACCATGAATCTTCTACAGAGTTTAAAAAATCTTGCATAACAAGTAATATAGTATCTCATTTCTATAGAGGTAGATTTTAGAATAATTGTTTTATCATTTAAAAAAAATTAGCAACCAAACTCATTGTCTATTTGGTTTCATTCCGGTATAATTTTCACCACCTAATTGAAAAAATATGCGTTCAGCTTAAATTTGTGTTTATATAGTAGCTAATTTAGTAAATAATTTATAACATACAAAAATATATTTATTTTAACTTAGGTAACTGCAATCACTAAATTAATAGTAATTTTTAACTGTAATAAATTATATACAATCACTAACTTACTATAAAACACATTTAACTTGCTAATAAAACACATTTATGATAACTGCAAATAGGTTGATTCCTTACTTTGAATGTGAACTGAACTTGTCATGTCAAAATCCTTTTGAAAATGACATTCATTGAACTTTTTATTAAATATATATTCTCCTTCTACTTCAAAGTGGCTGATGTTTTTTCACACAAATTAAATAATATAAAGATGTTGTTATAAAACATCACATTTTTATAAAATTAACTCTATTAATATAATAGAAGTAATATAAAAAATAAAAAATAAAAGATATAATTGAAAAAATAATAATTATTACTATATTAAAAAGTAAAAATGATAATTATTTTAAAATAAAATTTATTTATCAAAACGTAACTCATTTTAAAACGGACAAACTATATAATCACCGAATTAGCTTTTTGCAGACAGCATAAGACCAAGCAAAGTTTCTTCATCTAAAGATATGTCACGCCTAGACCTAGCTGACTTTTCAAACCCAAAAGTATGAAGTACCAAAAAGATTCAAGAAATCAAAGCCAGCATAAGGAGAGAACCAATTACAGAATAAGAAAAAAAAACTTTCTCTTTCTATCTCTCCCTCCCTCAATGTTCTCTCTATTACTTAATGGAAAGGAGTAAGGGTGTAATGATCAAATACAAAAACAAAACAAAACTAAAAACTGAAAATAAGTTTCAAATCCAATCAAATGATCTGATTTGTGTTTTCTCCTTTCATGCTTCAGCTTAAATAAAATCAAGTGAATTAATATCAATTTTTATTAATTTTAAATATAGTCCGAGTCAAATTATGATATTTAAACAATATTTTTTTATTTAAACTATTTTAGTAGTTTTATTTTAAAAATTATGTTGTTGTATATTAATGTATTTCATTTATCAAACCAACTATTTTGATTTGATTATTTTAAAAAAACGTAACCCTAATCAGAGTTTTATATTATATAGATAATCTTTATGCATTTTTAGTAATTTAAATAAAAAATAAAAATATGTCTAGGTGCTGAGCATGATATAAGTGGGTTAGTATCAATAAAGATAAGGTATTGACATAGAAATTCGTAGCCGGCCGGCCACAACCACAAACTATCAGATCTTAAGCAACAAAGGTAATATATGAATGGATCTATAAAATCTTAATTATAGAATATGAGGTCATGTATCTTGCGCATGTACAGTTCAATTATAGATTTGAAAGCTACAGTTTTTTACTTTTTCATTTCAAACGTTTGATTCTCACCTCATTTCATACTTATATATGTAACAAAGTATTTTTGTCAAACTCAAAGTCAAAGAAAAATCTAGTGTCCAATCTTTGAAACTTGTACTAGAGTTTCAGTAACTAATCAAAGTGCATTACAAGATTTATTTTCCATGAAATGTACAACTCGAACTCCAAATAAACAATTTATTCCACAATACATATAGAACTGAGTACGTCTCTTTGACATATGAATTTATATGTAGTGCACAACAAAATATAAATTCCATGCACAATTTTTTTTTTCTTAATATGAATATGTACCTTTGTAAAAATGGTAAGGTTCTGTCATTTGATTTGGTTTTAGAGTTTGATATTAGACAGACTTTTTTTTTTCAGGAACCAATATATTAGTTGTATTCTCTGCCATTTATCTTAATCAGCATCTCCAATGTAGAGTATATATCTGAAGGTACTTATTCACAAATTATAAATTTGATGCACCAAAATGTATTCTTCTTTGTAAACCAATATATTATGTTGTATTCTCTGCCATTTGTCTTGACCAGCATCTCAATTATTTTCCTATTGCAATATAAATCAGTATATATCTCAAGGTACGTATTTCCTTATAGGCTGTAATTAGAAGTTATAAAAATACAAGGCAAATATTCCCTCAGCATTAACAAATGGAAGGTAAACCATTAACTGGAATACACACATATTCCCTGCCATTTATTTATATTCTAAAAATAAATTGTAAGACTTCTTGCTTTGTCAAAATAGAATGAAATTTGAATTTCTAAAATAGCCTTTGCAGTTAAAATGAAAAGTGAAGATTCAATCATTAATTTAAAAACTAATCATTGTAATTAAAGGACTAATAATTTTTTTAAAGGAAATTACATTAATATAATTAATACTTGGATAGTATTGTAATGTTTGATTTATTCTTTATCACATAGACATATACTATAAATGTGTGTCTAATATAAATCTCTCAAGAAAGAGTGACCCTTACCATTCTTCTGGACACACTTTTGGACCAAGTTAATATTAGACATCATTTTATTACACAAATAGAGGAATTCTAATATAGACCTCAAAAATAGATTCAGAGGCAAATAAATGTTCATGTTTTTATTATAAAATATTCTATTTTACTACAACAAGAGTCCAATTGGATCTTTTATTTTAGCTCAATATTAGATGCACTTATAAAAACAAAGTTTATGTTATATAAATTATATTTTCATAATTTATATTTGATCAAACTTTAAGTTCTCTAATATATATTTTGATCATATCTTAAGGGTGAAACAAAACTTAAATGCAACTCTTATATTTTAACTCACCTAAATTTTATAGACTTATTCAATAATTTATTTTATATATCACACTATAATATTATACCTATTATTATTGTCTATTTCTCTCTCATAGGCTCTTTCAAGTGTAATTTGGATGCTTACAAAAAAAGTGTAATTTGGATGCACATCTAACATTTTCAACCTAAATAATACACCCTACTATATTCACTCACACACACACACATAATTTGCTAAATGAGTGGGTAACCAACTTAAGTTGACGAAATTGCATGGATGGTGCAAAATAAATGATAATATTAATATTATAATTGCCTACAAAGGACTAATAATATTAAGAAAACTCTGAACTTAAAATGGTAGATACCATACCACTAGTTCATTAGAACCAATTTCAAGACTAAATTGACATATACAAAATAGACTAATGTGCTAAAGGGTTTTCAATATAATATCAAGAATAACACTAGAATTTTGTTAGTTTTACGTATAAAAAAGTTTTTTTTTAATAGCATATTTTTTTTGACAAGTTTTAATAGCATATATTAAATAAAAGAAAGGAGTTTAAATAGTTATCAAATCTTTTGACACAAGATATAGGAGTGGCATCATTTGACACAAAATCTGGTACTCTAATCACATTTATATTATTAATATCTTAATCCATAAATATATAATTTTTTCATCATTAGTAAATAACTTGTTTTAAAAGAGTCTAGATTCATTTAAAAAGATCAAAATAGATAAATAACAATTCAATATATATATGTACCATCAAATATTTCTCTCTTCCCTGCTGCGCATTCCACGGGGTACAATGTCTCCAAGTAGTCCTTCATCAGTCGGATGCTGTGGCGGCGAAGCATCAGACACAGCCGTTGTAGCCCTACTCAATCTTCCAGCTTTATGATCATTATGTGGTTGGCTAGGCTGAGAAACAGTAGTAGTGCAAGTGTTTGATTCTGTAGGTATTTGAATAGGATAATAGAATTGAGGCATTGTTGGAGCAAATTGGCCAGTAAAGGAAGCTTCATGACTTATGATTCCACCTCGAGGAAATCCAACTGTGTGATGACAGTGTTGGCCTTCATATGTTGTTACAACAATAGTTGGATCCTCACAAGAGCGTTCAACCCTTTTTTTCACCGTGCATTTACTATTTGTGCATCTATAATAGCTTCTGCAACAAGACAAACATATGCATTAGGATACTTATCACAATGTTTCTGTTAGAGCTCATTGTACAATTACTACCAGTTTATTCTAGAAGTTCAGTTCAAAGGACTCATCTTCATTTTGCATAACACATGTTGTGGTTAACTAATTTTATTGTATTATAGGCTATACTAATACACTTTTAACATCATAAAATACACAATTTTTGGATTGATGGCATCAATTAAATTACTATATATGCACTAAAAATAGATATCTCTAAATGTACCTTTCAAAAAAAATGTCTAAATTATGCACCCTCACCATTTTTAATAGAGTGATTAATCCTTTACTCTTAAAAGTCTAACATGACTAACTCATAAAGTTAATTATGACAGTGGTACCAGTGTTACTAATACCTCTCAACCTATCATCGGTTGATCTACTATTACAGGTGATTCTCTACTTGAATAAAAGCAAGTGTTAAACTATTTTGTAATCAATTACTCAATTTATTAAAATAGGATTCAAAAGATTTAAGAATCCATAGATTAGTTTATAATAATACTGAATTTACTATTTTTGTAAAAATGGTAAGGTTCTTTTTTAAAGTCGTTTTTTATATTCATATTATAAGTATTTTTTTAAAAGATAGTAATAAAAAAATTAATTTCTTTTATGGAGTTTTGAAGGGGAGGGAGATTGAATAGAAAAAAAGGAAGAAAGAAAATAAAAAGTAAAGGAGAGACTCCTAATTCGGGGGAATTCAAGAAATGTATTGGAAAGAGATCTTATAAGGTATAAACATATGCATCAAATCATTTCCATAATATTGTAATACTCTTAAAATTAAAAAATATAGTAATTAAAAGTATTTTTCTTATCATTTTTTACAAGATTATTCTCTCAATTTGTGAGAAAGATTACTATTTCTTTGCCTCTCTTTTCTTTTTTCTTAATGCCCTCTCCTCCAATGTCTCAAACACTATTGAAATAGTCCTAAAAAATTTTATTCATTCCCTCTCCCTCCATTTGAATTGTCTACAAAATCATTCTTTTAAACAAAGTGAAAGATTTCTTTCTTTTCCTCTCTCTAAAACCCCATCCTTCTCATTTCCAAAAGAAATCTAAAAAATGATGAAAATTTGTATTCTTGTAAATGACTAAAAAATCATTTTGAGCTAAGATTTCTAGTTTCAATAGACAAGTGTTTATGTCTACAATCCTAATAATTTGCATAATCCCTCTCAACTTGTTATTTCTATAATCCAAAACAAATGTTGGTTATGAGAAAATTAACATGAGAAGTTTGAAATTTGGTTACACTCTATCTCTTTTAGGTTTCTTCTTTTTTACTCAACAACCAAAATAGAATGTAGAGAAGATGAAGATAGTAAAATAATAGGATGTAAAGGAACAAGAAAACTATGGGAAAATAAATTAAGAAAGATATTTAAATTTAAATAGATCATTAAACCAGTAGAGTTTAACAATAAGAAATGTAAAATGCAATTTTTTAAGGATATTTCCATATCCAAATATACCATCGTGGTTCCCAATGGTTCAACTGCGCTGCTGCAAAATATTCAAATTCTCATTAAACAGCTCATTCAAAAAAAAAACATCTCAATAAACATGCTCACAACAGAATATCTTAATATCTATTGATCTAGATATAGAACTGATTCCAGATATTATGAAAAAAGCTTTAGATGTTATTATTGGAAATTTTACAAGCATATTCTAAGTGTCAATCCATATATCTTTGCATGCTTTCATGATTTATTAAATCTTCACAGAACTTTTAAGAATGAAAATGTGCATGAAATAATCAATTGTATGCAATAAAAAAATATGTACTATAGTTTAAAATTGGATAAAATAATACTTATTTTATTATGGAGTTAGAATATATGCATAGTGATGGGAAGAATTAAAGGTAAATTTGATTAGAAGTAGGTATAGACCTAGGAAATGGGCTATTTTTAACTGCTTTCTGACCATACTTTCGCCATCTGTAGCCATCCTCGAGATGATCAACTTCACTCTTGGTCATAAATGCAAACCGCGGCTGCCGTATACGCTTTTGCCCTTTCTTTTTACTTTTACTCCTGCAAAATATGAGCCACAATGTAAAAGGACCAAAAGACAACATTATTTCTGCATGGTATAAATAAAGCCATATCATAATGCATAGTATATCAATTATCATAATCTTGTGTTATTAAGATAATAATTCACATAAAATATGGACCACAAGATTTATATATAAAAAATGGAGAGGTCCCGCTTTACAATGTAAAAACACGCAAACATTATTTTAGGAAAAGAAGCAATATGTCATGAAACTTTTTAATCAAAATGCATTGCATATACTAGCTTCTAGTACTCCAATCCTCATTACTATAATTATGAGCATAAAGTGCAAATTAATGCTAGTGCTACTATCCTATGGCAGTAAAATGAATAAGTATCATACCAAGAAAGTATAGTTTTTCTTCTATTCATTCCAATATAAAAATTGACTAAATGAGTATATAGGTTGAATATAAAGCTGCAAGTGGTTAGCATCATGTTAATGCCCAAAACACAAAAGCAGAATTATATGCAAGTTTATGTCATAAAATTAAGTTCTATCTCAGTCACAATATTAAGCTACTAATGTTTTTATTTGTTTTTATAAATAAATTTTAAATAAATTTTTTGTTTCATAAATGTATACTTTTTTGTTTTTAGTTTTTCAAAAAATGAAAGATGATATATATTTTTAGGATAAAAAATTATTTTAAACTTACATAAAATATTAGAAATTAATTATTTCAGAAATTTTTTAGAGGAATTATAAGAGAAAATAAGTCCGACCTTCTTCCTTTCAAAATCACTACAGTTTAAAGTTTTTGCACGTTGATTATGAAATATAACAATATTTTCATAAAACATTTCACTTTTACTAAATTAACCTTATTAATGTGTTGAAAAAAATATAAAAAATAATAATTAAAGACTATAATTGTAATAATAATAATAATTTCTACATTAAAAAGTAAGAGTGACAATCATTTTAAAATAGATTAAATTTATTACAACGAGACACATTTTGAAACGTATAATATTAATATATCAAAATTTTATTTAGCTCTAAAAAATGTGGAGGCCCCTTCCCACTTTTTAATATCGCTTTTATTTTTTTTAATTACAACTATAATTTAAAAAATGTAATAACTACATTAAAAATAATGCGTAAATAATTATGTGCTGAAAATAAAGCAGAAAGAAAATTGGATGGCACAGAGCACGCTATTCCCGCCGCGATAACGGTGGTGCATGTGGACTAAAGCTTCCCAAATCCGAAAAGGTAAATTCATAGTAATAATTTTTATCCTTTTTCCACATCAATTTTTCACTTTTGTATATATTCAACTTTAAAAAAACATATTGCAAAACACACGCAATAAATCTAACTGGGATTATTTCTGTTTGGGAAGAAGATTCCAGATTGTACGGACATGGATTTGCACCGATCCCGAAGAAGTTATTAAAAAATGAAAACGAATTTTTAAAAAAAAAACAACACAAACAAACAAACCGCAAGTTGATTTAAGTTGATTCGATTTTGATATGATTGATGTGGAATTCAGTTATTTTCTTTCCATTTTTGTCCTCAGAGTTTCACGTTAATTACGAATTAAGCGCGTGAAGAAACAAAATCACGAACGAAACAGAAAGCAGAAAGTTGAAAGCAGTGAAAGCAAAGTTTGTTACGATTTCATCAACTCACGGTATTTCCGGCGGTTTTTCTTCCGAGACGGTAGATTTCTCCGGTGGATCCTCACTGGAGCTTGAAGAAACGGATTGATTATTTGACCTGTAAGACGACGTCGGTGCTTGTTCAATCGAACCGGTTTGAACCGGAGGCAACGATCCCTCGCTTGCTCCGATTCTGTCAGGTACAAGATCCCAGCCGATGTCACCGAACATGGTTCCATCTCTATCGCCGGAGAAGAAATGACTTCCATCGGAATCATCGACGCTGAGAGACCAGCTCGAGTTGCCGACGAACTCTCCGGCGGTTGCGGGATCGGGAGGTGCTCTGTCTTTGTCTTCCATACATGGATTACGTACGAAAAGTAAACAGTATGAAGAAGATGCTAATCGAAATCACAAATCTGAAATGATAATGATGATGATGATGATATTTGTGGAAAACGCGAAGAGAAAGAGATAGAGAGAATTAGGGTTTGTGTTATGGAGTGTTGGTTGTTGTGAGAATGAAGGGACGCGTAGGTTTTGAAGTTTATGAAGAGTTTGAAAGCGTTGTCTCGTCAAAGCACAGTGTAAAAGAGATAATAATAATAATAATGTGAAATATAAGTTTTTTATTTATTTTTGTGGTAATAAAAAATAAAAAGAGATATGTTAGAAAATTATTGAGTGTGTCAAATGTAAGAGGGGAAGAAAGAAAGTGGTTACAGTAGCACGCGGGGATGAATTATTGGGCCTTATTGTGCTGTGCGTGTGCAATATGCTGCGCGGGGATTCTTCATTTCTGATACTCTTTTGCTTTTTTTAATTCAAAGTATTAAATTATTACAAAATTAATATCGATCAATTAATTTTGATAAAATAATATTTCAAAGAATCTAATTTTTTTATTTTTAAAAATTATCACAAAAATAATGTAGATCACAAATTACATTGATCAAATAATATTTCAAAGGATACATTTTTTGTGATCAATATTATTTAAATACTGAGTCAGAGTAATTTATTATTGGTAATTATGTAACGTTAGATAGTACTATTAATAATTAGAGCATAGATTTTGAATAATTAATAATTGATGAATTTAATGGTACTATTAAAATTAAAATTTAACTTAATGGATTTCTACAAAACTGATGGGAGGTGTCATTTCTTATAGTGAACTACGCATATTTCAATTTTCTATTCCTTCCATCTTCGATTCTTCAATTTCCTTATGAAATCTTCACAAAATTCTATCCTAGAAAGCTGTCAAGAAGCTACATTGTTTCTGTTTTTCAATTTAAGTTTCCGTTTTATGATTTGTTTCCAAATTTCATACTCTTTTTCTCCATCGACTTTCAAATCTCATATTATTTTTCACCATTGACACCGCTGCATTCTTCTCTGAACACTCCCCAATTATGATTCAATGAAATAGAGCAAGACAACAAGACAACCATGACGAAATACTCTTTCGATGTTGTCCGCTATGTGTTTGATAAAATTCCTCAATTAGACATCTTTTGTTTTGAATAGAGAAGAAGTACAATTTTGCATTGTCTAATGGTTTCTACTCAAATAGGAGGTTTACATTGTCCACTTCGAGGATTTCATTGTCTCCTCGATGGTAGAGATGAGAGCAAGGGTATTTCTCATTTGGTGTCTCATCTTAAGATGTTACACTTATGTAGTGACGAACTGAAAAATATCATACGAAATGTGATTGAGAATGATTGTAGTTTATTTACGACATTGGAAGAGTCTTTGAGGGTGGTTAAGAAATGGCTATGTGGAAAGTTTATGAGCATTCATGTCATGAGTCTGGTATGTCATCATCCTGGTGGTCTTATTCGTGTCACTCATGGGACATGAGGATACATAAATCACATTGTGGGTATTGGTAAATCACCATCCTCAACTGACTCTGATAACTTCAAAGAAAACGAGGAGCTTGTTTTGGATGCAAGGTTGTTAGAGAGGATTCTTACCGCACATATTTTCATTATGAAGAGTATACCTCTAAGTTGTCATCTTGCTTTCTCTCAAACATTGAAAGATGCTCTTAACAAGGTGGTTGTTGATCTGGGATCAGTAGGTGCATGAGTTCGGTTGTTACTTCTCCCTCGTTGTACATTATAGGTGGTTAAGCCTCAGAATAGGCGGGATCGCAGGTATGGAAATCGAAAGTCCTTGCAGCAACACCATATTTTGGAGTCTTTAGCTACTTTGAGAGGCGCCGATGGTCTTGCCAGGTTAGTTGATAGTGTGTTGGGAAGCTCGGAGTGTCATACCTCAAATTCGTCCTACCCCTCTTTATAAGGATCATCTGGCTTATGCATCTCGCATCCTTCGTGTACAACTTCTCATTAGATCATCTAACATCGCATGCATCATTAATAAGTAAATGGTCACGAAATCAAGGTATTTCTTTTTGGAATCTATACATAAAAAAGGATTGTTCCGTCAGGCAGTATAATAAGACAAAACTCTGGTTTTTCAAGGTTTAAATGTGTTCCGCACGTTTCGCACGCTCTGAATTGCGGAGGAATCGGGTGTTTCGATGAATTTGAGACGATGTGAACCAGAAACATCATTTTTTGCTGGTTTGAGCATAGGAATTCACAACTTTCAATCAGGATACTGTTTTGAAATGGTTCCTCAAGCATTGGAACCATCTCGGTATTTTCTTCATTTCACATGTTCTGACCGGAAGCCAATTCTATGAAGAAAGTCTCCAAAGAATATGATTTTCCTGAAATGGTTTTTGAATTCAATGATTGGTTATTTGTTTCTCGGGTGTTCGGAAACTCATAACTTTCATCTAATTCAGTATTTTTGGTTGATTCCTCGAGCATTGAGACTGTCTTAATTTTCTTGACATTTCTCGTGTTCGGATCAAAGGATAATTTTGTGAAGAAGATCTTCGAGAGTTTTAATTCTTTGAAGACAGTGTATTGAATTTAATTGTCGGTCCGTCATTTTGCGGGTAATAAAAATTCATAACTTCTGATTGGAATAATGTTTTGGAGCCGTTCTTGAGGTGTTAAAATCGTCTTAATACCGTCTTTAGTTTATATGTCGGATAGGAAGCTGATTCAGTAAGGAAGATCTTCGAATATGCAGATACTTTGAGAAGATACAAAGAAAATACGGTGAAAACGGTGTGTTGAACCGCTATTTTTCAAACGTTCAAAAATTAATAACTTTCGCCCGGTTTAACGTTGTTGACCCCAAAATTTTCCCTCTCTTTTTCAAGACATTCCTCACAAAGGATCTCCAATACTCAAGGATTCTCAAGGAATTGATTAGACAAAATCATCTCCGAAGCACTGGGACTCCAAATTAGGATTTCGTTTGAGAATGACCAATGTTTGACTTTTGACCTAGTACATGACTTATTGGTTTGAAATATGATCTCAAGGATTCAAGTACATCATTTTGACCTAATCGCATATTTTAATTCATTCCTCGATTGATAGATGAAATTTGATCAGCTGATGAAAAGAGTCAATTGTACATTGAAAAGTCAAACTTTGACTTTTTGGTCGAATTTGAGTTTCCAAGATCACATTTCATCAAGACATTCAAAATATGAAATTTGATCATCAAAAATCAAGAAAGTTAAAAATCAAACTTTGCAAGACTTGGAAAAAATTTCTAAGTATTTTCTATACATGTTAATGTCATTTCTTCATGACATCTTTTTACCACAATTCAAGACAATTCATATTATTATAAGCTTTCAAGTAAATAACAAGGCTGCATTTCTAAAGTTAAAAAATTTGCAAGTTACAAATTCTAAGCCTTGTCTTGTTTGAACCTTTCCCTTTGAATCAATTTTCAAACCTTTCCAATATGGTGACCATAAGACCAGACTTGTATCATGCTACAAAGGTTGTTGTTCAGAAAAGCCCCAAAATCATATATGCTGCCAAGTCAAAGCCTGCTGCTACAAGCCCAAAACCATGTTAAAAAATAGTTTGCTGTCCTGCATAAAAACAACCCTGGTATGCTGCCTCTAAACACTGCCATAGCCTACTCCCAAACCCTGAAATGTTGTCCAAGACTGAACTATATCAGTCCCCATATTTGCACCAATTTAGCATATAAGAGCTGCATCTAAAAAGCTATGAAACAGCATACCCTAAAAGTTAAAAAAAATTCATTTGTTTCCCTCTCAAATTTCAACCAACTTCATCTACAAATAGACTATTTTCACAACACACAAAGGGGGGATTTTTTGGAGAGAAAATAAAGAGAGAGAGAGAGAGAGAGAGAGAGAGAGAGAGAGAGAGAGAAGTCTTTGTAACCTCTGTTCATTCAAAAAACTCTGCTCTATTTTCATTCACAAAATAGAAAAAATCTTCAACCCACTATCCCATTTTGCAACCTTTTCAATAAACCAAATATCCAAGCACTTCACATCATATAGAGATTGTTCAAACACAAGAACAGTTTCTGTAGTGCCATTATCATCACTTTCCAAACACAAATAAAAAACAATATTGTACCACTTGACTGAGTTGGAGTTGGTTCAGCAGCTTTCAATGCAAAGAAAGGATTGGTGCAGCTTCCTGGAGGTTAACTGAAGCCATCACAACATCTTGAAAGGGGTTCAGACTCAAAACAAATTACAGTCTCAAGGTAAGTCTTCTTGACTTTGAACCTTTCATTTCAAACATCATTAGATATTCATTGTTGAAGATAAATGTGGTAATCATTGCCTTTTGAAGCTAACTATTTACTTGCTTTTCATTTTTGCAATACTATGTTGAGAACTGACCTATACAAACAATAGAACAATGTTTAAGGAAAAAAACTACAGCATGAGTCGATGCATACTCACATGAGTAGACTCATTTTAGTGTAAAATAGGTTATGTGTCGACACAAAACATGTATGAGTCAACTCATACTAGTTGCAGAACATGGCATGAGTTGACTCTAAGCTTTATGCATCGATGCATATTGTTATCCAGGCACAATACAGAAAGACCAAAGGTGCATGAGTCGACACAAAACACACATGTTCGACACAAACAAGAAATGAGTTAACACATACCATTATGTATTGACTCATACTGAGTTGATTTTGTTTTTTCATAAACAAGCAAGGGCATGTGTCGATGCATGAGGCTATGTGTCGATACATAAAGTTTGTTTTTCTTTCTTTGTATACTATTTTCCTTTTATGTTTTCTATGGCTATTCATTTATTCAATATGGTTGTAATAATTTAATTAGACTTGTATTTCACCCCCATTTGTAAATTGTACCCCCATCCCCTAAGTGATGTAATAGTGTAGGATTTTAAACTCCGCAATTTATCGTTTTAATATAATTGTTAGTAATTAGGGTGTGTATG